TCTGTAATTCACTTCCTGATATCACCCTGGCTAGTGAGTAAAGTATCCTCGACCTCGTACACCATAACATTTCCGTAGAAATACGTGATCAATAACAATAATCCCCTTCACCCGGTCATTTAATTGTGTTGTGATTAGATTCCTCGACCTCGTTAAACTTTAAGTTACACTTTCTCCGTGACCATTTATTCGCTCCTTGGTCTGCCGGAGGCACAGACAACTCTACTAGTATATGATGTTTTCAAGGGTCACTTTGCGGAAAAAGTCAACGAAATTATGGCACTCAACAACATAGTTCATGAGTTAGTCCCCGCCAACATTACAAACTTGTTCCAGCCTCTAAATATGACGGTAAATCGTGTTGCCAAGGACATTTTCTGACTTTGTTATAGTTCATATTACTCAGGGGAGGTAATGAAACAGACAACAGTGCTAAGAAAGCTCCACGTGATGTCAAGGTTAGCCTAAAGTTGTCTAAGATAAAACCACTTCACGCCGAATGGCTTGTAAAAGTTAACACTGAAATGCATGACTGGGGTAGTTTGATAAAAAATGTTTCCATAAAGCTAGAAATCACTGATGCTTTAATCATGGACTATTTCATGAACGAAAACCCATTCGATGAAGATGATATGTGATATTATACACTGATCATGTACACATATTTTAACATTTTTACTGCTTACCGACTGCTTTTCTTACTAAATGTATAAAAATGCATTTAAAAATCATTTGCTGAAATTAAAAAAACGTCCAAAAAATGAAAAAATTCGGATTTTTGTTGGTTTTGAATGCCTTTTAGCGTTCATTTAAGTACAAAGACTAAATTACTATGGAATGGCTTCATGTTTGCTGTAACATAACCCAGTATTACACCGCCTATCTACATGAATCGAACTGATTACAAACATAATTTTCAGATCAGCAAAATCCTGTCGACCTGTTTAACACCGCTTATTAGAAAATTATCGTATCGACTAATCACCTGACATTAAAAAAAACAATTTGTCAAGAATCTATAGAAATTGTAAGAACCGGGAAACTAACAATTGCTGGTTAATTTTAAAAGGTTTTATCAATACAAATTATTAGAATATGGTGCCATAACCATCCTTGATACCGTGGATCCATTCTAAGTATGTCTCCCTTCGCAGAGAAAGTTTGGCTCAAATTCAGCACTTTCTATTGAAAATATTTTGAAACAGAACATTAGAATCAATATATGAATTTTTCAACAAAAAAAATATAACATACATATTTATTATTTATTAAAGTGTGATAACAAAATACGGAGATATAAAAATCTGTACCATCAAAATATGGCCTTGTTGAAGCAACATGAATAATCAAATTACATTAATAACATTAAGTGTCCAGTACGCAAGTGATCGTTCATCATATCTGTCACGCCAGATAGTAAATATCAGAGGACAAATAGTAAATATCAGAGGACAAAGATTGAAGCAAATTTGGTATACATTTTAGATACATTGTAATGAAAAAGGATCCAAAACGTTTTTAGTGCCTCTTGGAATTTGTTCTAGTCATTTGTAATTTGTAATTTGTCTCAAAGACACGTCAAGGTTCAAGGAGCAGATGGTCAGACGAAAGATTTGATTCTCTAAACATATTGTCTCCTCGTCATATTCCTTCGCAAACTTACGGAATTTTTCTGCGATTTCCGACCCTTTTATATCTTTTACCCCGTTATAAATATCATAAGCCCCGAAGAGCATGCCAACTCCAGCGAAAATACCAGAGAATACTTTGGCAGTTGTCTCGGCGGAAATTACTGCAATGTCATCAGCTATGCTCGCAAACTTTGTGGCAATTTTGACAGTGTCGGCAATAATATCTCCGAGCTTGTGTCCCTTGTAAATAAAGCCTATACCACCTCCTGTAATATCCCGTAATATCTTATCAAATATGCCACTTTCAATAATCTTAGATATCCTCTTTACATTATCCTTCACTCCTTTCAGCAATGTACTGACAACTTTGTCTTGGTGTTCAAATGTCTTTAAAGCTTCCGTGATTTTCTTTTGATCCGACATAATATTGCGATCTTTAGCTATCGTGGCACCAATGGTGGTGCCTGATCCCACAATCCCGCCAGCAATGCCTCCAATAGTTAACCCTAAGGAAGCACCAAAAGTGAAGGGTGAAAGTATTACTCCCAAAACTAGAAGACCACCGGACACAACAGTTACCGATCCTCCAACTGTTTTGGCGATTCCAGAACCCATGGCAAATTTCTCGAGGTGGTCAGCGTGTTCCCGGCATACTGTAGAGAATTCTCTTCTGTTGCTCAAGTAGTCAGACAGTGTGAACCCGTTCTTTTTTTGGAACATATTTTTGTCGGCAACGAGATGTATTTGTTCATGAAATTCTTCATAAAATTCTTCATGAAATTCTTGTAAAACAAGAAACTCTTTTTGCAACATGAGTTCATTTTCTGATGTGAGATTCATCCTGACGAGAGTAAGTCAATTCTAAATCTAAGCAGTAAACTGCACTGAGTAAGAAAATTGAAAATTATTTAGTAGATATCGTGTGTAACCACCGCGATGTAAATGTCAAAAATCACGACTTTTGAAAATAACAACTGTCAACGTCCTCGACTAATATATTGCAAATGATACTTATCGACTGTATAGTGTATACTATTCTAATTATTAACTAATATTAACTAAGCAAGACAATAGTTGGCATGAAACTAGAAGGCTTACTAGACATTACACAATAGCCACTAACTGCAGTATCCAACTTCTAGTACTGTCAACCAAGATGTCGCAAATAAATTTATGCTATCCATAACAACAAACTTTAAATTAAATTTTAATAATCATTCAACAAACAATCTAAGATGATTAATATAATATAAAGTAAAACTAATATGATCTGAACATGATCTGAGTGATAGGCATTCAAAGTAGGAACGAACACGGTGTGAGTGTGGGCGAGTGGCTCAGAATTAAGCTTAATAATTGACTTAACTCCTCCTATGAAGGGAGCGTTCACATATGACGTCAGAAAGATTTTAGCCAATTTTACCCCTCTCTCTCTTAGCAACTGTTAGCATTGAGTGACACCCCCCCCCCCCCCCTAATGACGTCAGCATTCGCCAGAACCCCTTGCCTTCTTAACCCCCTTACTTACGTCGGCCAGCGAGGGGGTATAGAAATGTTGACGGGTGTATACAGAGAAAACTAGTATGCGACTGATTTAAACAGTTGGTGATGGTCAGCAGAGTTCAGTTCACCGAAGTACTAATATTAAGGAAATTAGCAAAGTTTTATTGTTAATAAAATTGTAGTAGTTGTACAGCAATACTAAGATAATGGGACTACTGCAGACCCTCTACCGGCCAAACCTTGTTAACAAAGACGCAGTCAAGGTTCGGTGAACGGTAGTTAAAAGCGGTTAAGGGACATAAGTCAAAGTGGTACTAGAGCAACATCATGTAGTGGACATCTTGAGAAATGAGTAGTAGGTAGAATGTAAGGTTACTCCTTCATCAATAATTTGATGATAATTTGATGATCCGATTAGAGAAATTCTTCTCGAATAATTTTCAAGACTTAATGTCAATTTAAAAAAGACGATACTAAGCGATTAATAAAACAGATAACAAATATCAACCTGTTTCCGTGAAAGCCACCATAGTGTAGTGGAGCAGATGTAAAAAACGTTCTCATTCACAAGATTTCAAATTTCGGGTCCCCAATTTCTATGTGCACGATCTCATTTAAAAATGAATTTGCAGATACTATCTGAGATAGAATTGCTCTTGCTAAAAATAACAAATTAGAAATTGCTAATTTTAATCTAATAACTCCATCTTTAAATTAAGGTCTTATAAAATATGAAGAATGTACAAAATAAAGTTTTAAAATAAGTATACAAATTCTGTACGCGAAATAATTCTGTACAGTGCAGTAACACGATACAAAATATGGCATCGAGTTATAACATCTGCTAATCTGCTATGTCAAAGCTGTGAATGTACATTGTTCTTGCGAGGATTCGGAAATATGCATATAATAAAATGCATTCCTGTTGATCACATGAACTTAACAGCAACCTTACAGTTATACTGTTTGGGGTGAGATGAGTCACATCACAGTCTGCAGTACATTGTTTCATCAACAAAAGTTTCAACTGTATCGATTAAAAGATACGGGCACAATATTTTCAACAAAAAGTAATACAAATAAATTTTGTAAGATGTTAGTAAGGCTCGGTAAGTACCTTAGCAGTTGGCACCCGGTCGTTTCAGATCAGAACTGTGCCGCCTTGCTAGATGTCAGCATTTTAATGATATCTGTGATTGTTTAAAACTGTGATTTCCAGTTCTATGAATCGAATTATGTGATTATTGATTCTAGTGTGCAATACACAAAATTTATTGGTAAAATTATTTGTTATTTGTGGTTAAACGAATACTAAAAGTAAAAGGGGTAAACATAAAGTCGAATCGCTGTGATAAATTTTATTATTCACGCGCATTTACAGTAAGTTTAGTTGAATGAACTGAAAAATAATAACAGCTACGTCATGACATGAGATAACTCAAGAAAGAGATTAACATTTTTGAAGAAAATACACCATATTTTCATGAGGAGAAAATTCACGTCATATTTTTATGAAAACACGTGTGACGTACAGAAGATTTATCAACTAACATAGAGTTTTGCTTTCTTTTGTTTTTAAGAAATGTATTTCTCGAATGTGCTCTCAAGTATATAACACTCTCCAGTAGAATCTCTACGCAATGCACTAGAGTAAGGCACAAAGATTAAGACTACACTATAAGTCTTGTATTCAAAATTGCTGATGTTTTCTCATTTTCTGGCTACTTCTTACAAACGAATATAACTTTGTATGTTGTAACGTCACTTTGTTATCCAGTCAATTATTTCCTAATCAGAAAACACCAGCAACTTAGGATGACAAGACCATTCAATGAGACAGGACAACAGAGGGCGGCTGTGGCGTACCTCCATATCTACAGCTGCTGCCTGGACCACGCCCACAGATCCACGTGACACGCTGATACCATCCAGACCGTATTCATCTACATCCTCCGTCTGTGCGGTGCAGATTTTGCGATTATTTTGGCCAAAAATCGCGATAACGCGATTTTTAACAGGCTATACATTAAACTATACATAAAATTTGTCGCAAATAATGGGAAAAATCGCGATTCCGCACATGCCGCGATTTCCTGTTGTCCCTGGTGCGGTGTTAGACTGGTCCAGTCTTAATATGACTTTAAACTAGGCCCACTAGAATCAAGATTTGGGGCCAGGATGACCCGGGACCCGGGGGCTGGGATTGGCCGGAAGTTGGCCGGGGGTCGGGATATTTTGTCGGGATTTTTATTATAATTATTATCTATATTATATTAGTATAATTATTATTATATAAGCAATAATGAATTCTACAAAAATGACCTAATTATAAACCAAAGCTGTAATAGGGGAGCTATAAATGGGGACAGAGAGTGTCAGAGAGAGAGAGTGTCAGAGAGGGAAAAAGTGAGACACTTTTGTATCACATTTGGGGTAAATAACCATCAATTAAACCTTAACCACTTACCACCGGCCGATTTAAAAAATATTTGCTTATTGGCTTCGTAAGACTTTTGTCGAAACTATACCGAAAAAACCAGTTCCGCAACTCTTAGTACCGTTTTCAAGATTAAGCCGCTCGGAAATTACACGCGCACACACAGACGGACATTTTGAGATGATTAGTATAGATAACAGAGAACAAACTAATGACAATTACAATCTCACCTCCAATCCAACTTTGCCCAGATCATAGTTGATTCCAAATATATTGTTATCCTTCGTTTTGTGAATCTGAGGTCGACCGTAACCGTGTTTGGTGTAATCAGATTTGTTCAGGGTGGCTAAGTCGATTTCTCCGGTGCTGGCGAGGATCTCTGCGATTGGTATTTGGTGTTAATTCGTGTTAATTGTGTTCCAGATACTTAGTAGTGTTAGTAACGGCTACTGTTCAGTGTTCATCATATTATTTGTCACTTTAGAGTATTTTATAACTCTTGGCGAATGCAACACGCAATTTGAAAATATATATTTTTCGCTTAAGGGTTTTTCGAAGCTCTAATGAGGGCATCTACCATTCTGATTCACACCATGGTTTGGTGGCCGACCTGCATCCGACCCCACTGAGAATCAAACCCCGGTCGTCCACTTGGGAAACAAATGTATTAAACACTACACCACCCGGCCGACGTGACAGCACTCACTTATTACTATTATTATGCCAAATGTCATAGTATGTTTAGAGGGCGTACCTAAAATCATGACAAATGGCACAGTGTGTTTAGAGGGCGTGCCTGTACTCGTGACAACAATCATAGTATGCAGTCTGCCCCTTATATTCCTCAGAATAACTAACCGTCTTGGTAAGAGAACTTCTCCACTTTCACTAGCTTTTTAGTTTCGAATTGTTGTTTATAGCTGGTATCGGAGGACATCTTTACGTTGGCCATGGACTTCGTTACATCTGCAAAAATAGATATCAAAGTGTAAGATTTAAATAAAATAAACTGTCATCGAGTAGAATTAACTTCATCTTTTATAGTTTTATCTAAATGAACGAAAAAGTGCCACGAACACGACTTACCAAAAGCCTTAGTACTAGAAAGAGCTGCTTTGCCAGCAGATTTAACATCAGCCACAATATCAGCAGTAACTACCGGCACTTGGAAGTGTCCCAGAGTTACAGTGTCCATTGTCATCGCGTCGCTTGGGATCTGGAGTGTAATTAAACATTTAAAATATGTAACGTCGATACCAAACCAATTAAATTAACATAAAATCGAGAACATTTTGCTCGATTTTTAGCTTAAAACAACCGCAAAAGTCACAATTATATGCAACTTATAAAGCAATATAAGCTCTTTAATGCTTATTTGTAGAGATATTGACAAAAATCAGTAATTTTGGCTGCAAGCATAAGCTTCAACCTCCCCCTCGCCGCCTCCCACTACTATAACAGCTGTACTAAGGGTGTACTAACTACTAACCTCCCACTTCTATAACAGCTGTACTAAGGGTGTACTAACTACTAACCTCTCACCGCCTCCCACTACTATAACAGCGAGTGTACTAGGGGTGTACTAACTACTAACCTCGATTTGGTCCTTTGGTTTATGTCTGAAAACCCCGACCTTCTCGTGGCCCTTGGCCTTGTAGTCCGCCCTTGCGATTGTGGTTAGGTCTTGTTTACCACTAAACAACGTTAGTTCGTCATCAAACGACGCTAGTTCCCCTTTGCCGCCTGATTTACTCTGAACAGAGTGTCACAATTTAAACAGAATTATTTGATTTGTAATTGCAATATCTCTTGATTTTAGATTTACACAATCAGTAACTAGCATGGAGAATCGTGATTATTAAATTTAATAGGGATAATCTGTGCAAGTTTGGGTGAATTTCTATGTGTCAAATTGGAGATATCACTCAAAGTTCAAACACAAGAAAATAGTGCTGTCGGACAGCAGTCGCTGTAGGACAGGAGTCGCTGTCGGACAGGAGCCATGTTACCAGTTTAGAACCCTGACAATATTCTCTATAATTGTAAGGTTATCATAACAAAGTTCCGTTTCCAGCTTCACATACCTCAAACTGAGTTCCATAGCTGGTCACATGATCGAAGTCAGCTCCAAAGTCCACTCCAGTTCCCCTTCGTTTGCTCTTCCTAACTTTAGGTGCAGTCTGTGTGAAATCCTCGCCGTAAACTGACGTTTTCGTTCTGTCCGCAGAACCGAATTCTATTCCATTTTCCTCTGCTCTGAAACAAATGGATTTATGATGGATGAATATTGAAAAGAGTGACGATAACTCGATAACTGAATGAGGAGAAATAAAATCGTTGTTTTGGACGTCCAGCTAAAATACCAAAATTTAAGATTTGTACATTTGTATATTTGCTATTTTGTAAAAGTTTCAAATAAAAAAATCAATCAAGTTTAAGTCAGCGATTATAGCTCCAAATATCTCATTTCGCAAGCACTAAAAAAATGTGTGAAATAAACGAACTTTATTTGCTTAGCAGGCTCGGACTTGAAGCCGGGGAAGTGCTCCCTGGCAGTGGTTCTCTTGCTCGAGTGATCCTTATCTGATACTCCGAATAGATTGTTGTCCGGGATTGTGTTAAGATAGGGTCGGCCGTACTTGAAGGTTACATAGTCTGACTTGTTGACGGTGGATAAGTCGAGCTCTCCTGACGGACCTTTCAGCTCTGAGGGAGAGAGTAAGTTCAGATATTTAGAACTATTCAGCTCTGAGGGAAAGAGTTAGTTCAGATATTTAGAACTATTCAGCTCTGAGGGAAAGAGTTAGTTCAGATATTTAGAACTTTCAGCTCTGAGGGAGAGAGTAAGTTCAGATATTTAGAACTTTCAGCTCTGAGGGAGAGAGTTAGTTCAGATATCGGTCGTCCGCTTGGGAAGCAAATGTAGTAAACACTACACCACCCGGCCGACGTGACAGCACTCACTTTTTACTATTATTATGCCAATTGTCATAGTATGTTTAGAGGTCGTACCTAAAATCATGAAAAATGGCATAGTGTGTTTAGAGGGCGTGCCTGTACTCGTGACAACAGTAATGTTGACAACAGTCATAGTATGGTTTGCCCCTTATATTCCTCAGAATAACTAACCGTCTTGGTAAGAGAACTTTTCCACTTTCACTAGCTTTTTAGTTTCGAATTGTTGTTTATAGCTGGTATCGGAGGACATCTTTACGTTGGCCATGGACTTCGTTACATCTGCAAAAATAGGGATCAAAGTCTCCACTAAGATTTAAATAAAATAAACTGTCAGCGAGTAGAAATAACTTCATCTTTTAAATTTATCTAAATTAACGAAAAAGTGCCACGAACACGTCTTACCAAAAGCCTTAGTACTAGAAAGAGCTGCTTTGCCAGCAGATTTAACATCAGCCACAATATCAGCAGTAACTACCGGCACTTGGAAGTGTCCCAGAGTTACTGTGTCCATTGTCATCTTGTCGCTTGGGATCTGGAGTGTAATTAAACATTTAAAACATGTAACGTCGATACCAAACCAATTAAATTAACATAAAATCCAGAACATTTTACTCGATTCTTAGCTTAAAACAACCGCAAAAGTCACAATTATATACAACTTATAAGTTATAAAGCAATATAAGCTCTTTAATGCTTATTTGTAGAGATATTGACAAAATCAGTAATTTTGGCTGCAAGCATAAGCTTCAACCTATCCCTCACCGCCTCCCACTACTATAACAGCTGTAATAAGGGTGTACTAAGGGTATACTAAGGGTATACTAAGGGTGTACTACCTTACAAGACATATTTATAACGTACGAAATGTGGAGGTTTTCCGAAAATTTCGCCATATTTTCGGACCGCCAAAATTTCGGTCGTCGTAATAGAATCCGTCGCATTATCTTTTAGCTTATTTCAATGACTGTGCCTTCACTGCTTTATTTTGTTTCTAAAAAGTAATATCAAGTAAAATAAATAAATAAATTCTGGCATCTTGGGACAAATTATCACCACACTAATGACGAATTGAATGTCAAGCAATACAGTTTAAATTTGTATTAAAATACATGTATGTGCTAACATGAAAGTCTTACAGTCTTAATACAGACTAAGTTTGAATATGATTTTACCGAATTTCAGAAATTTCCTTACTGCTTACTGTCACAAAAAATGATGAAAAATACCCTTATTTTCTGTGACGTCCGAAATTTGACGGTTTTTGTTCAATTTCGCCATATTTTCGGACCGCCAAAATTTTGGTCGTCGCAAATTAGGCCGCCATAAATATGTCTTGTAAGGTAACTACTAACCTCGATTTGGTCCTTTGGTTTATGTCTGAAAACCCCGACCTTATCATGGCCCTTGGCCTTGTAGTCCGCCCTTGCGATTGTGGTTAGGTCTTGTTTACCACTAAACAACGTTAGTTCGTCATCAAACGACGCTAGTTTCCCTTTGCCGCCTGATTTACTCTGAACAGAGTGTCACAATTTAAACAGAATTATTTGATTTGTAATTGATATCTCTTGATTTTAGATTTACGCAATCAGTAACCAGTATTGAGAATCGTGATTATTAAATTTAATAGGGATAATCTGTGCAAGTTTGGGTGAGTTTCTATGCGTCAAATTTGAGATATCACTTTAAACACAAGACAATAGTGCTGTCGGACAGGAGTCATGTTACCAGTTTAGAACTGGGACAATATTCTCTATAATTGTAAGATTATCAGAACAAAATTCCGTTTCCAGCTTCACATACCTCAAACTGAGTTCCATAACTGGTCACATGATCGAAGTCAGCTCCAAAGTCCACTCCAGTTCCCCTTCGTTTGCTCTTCCTAACTTTAGGTGCAGTTTGTGTGAAATCCTCGCCGTAAACTGACGTTTTCGTTCTGTCCGCAGAACCGAACTCTATTCCATTTTCCTCTGCTCTGAAACAAATGGATTTATGATGGATGATTATTGAAAAGAGTGACGATAACTCAATAACTGAATAAGGAGAAATAAAATCGTTGTTTTGGACGTCCAGTTAAATACCAAAATTTAAGATTTGTAAGTTTAAGTCAGCGATTATAGCTCCAAATATCTCATTTCTCAAGCACTCAAAAAATGTGTGAAATAAACGAACTTTATTTGCTTAGCAGGCTCGGACTTAAAGCCGGGGAAGTGCTCCCTGGCAGTGGTTCTCTTGCTCGAGTGATCCTTATCTGATACTCCGAATAGATTGTTGTCCGGGATTGTGTTAAGATGGGGTCGGCCGTACTTGAAGGTTACATAGTCTGACTTGTTGACGGTGGATAATTCGAGCTCTCCTGATGGACCTTTCAGCTCTGAGGGAGAGAGTAAGTTCAGATATTTAGAACTATCCCGTTATTAAACCGTCAAGTGATGTACTTGTTATATTGTACATAATATTATATACAACAATGACCAAGCACCATTAACATCTTTTATAAAATTACGGACTTTCATTTATTATTCGGCGCCTTTAAGGCTATTCAAAAATAAAATGATTCGAGACATGTTTTACCACCATTAGTTTCGGGAATAATAGTTCGACGTCGAGATTTGTTAATAAAAGACATTATAATTTATAACGATCAACAGCTTGCAATCAGCAACAGAGAATACAAGCTTGTGATTATTAACCACCAATTCTCAGATTTCGTAAATAAAATTATCAACAAATGACGCCGCTTATTTCCACGAATCGTTCAATGGTCACTATAACATCAAGCATCGCACTGCAATGCACTGCAATAATAAAGTTAAACACAATTGCCACAGATTGTACTAAAATATCCAGGGGTACTAAGATCTGTAGCGTGAGCTGGAGATCATGAATTATTTTTAATTTTAATTATTTTTAAATTAATAATTAATAATTAATTAATTAATTAATAAATTAAACGGCATGGTGAAAGAATCTTCCACATTCCGTCAAAGGTATAAAATGTTGATAAAATGTATGCAGTTTTTGTCTATGACAATTAAAAAAAGGTGTATGACTATGAGCTCAAACGATTCTGCAGCCTAGACAAAATTACGGACTTACGTATCATATTAATTTAAAATGCGTTACCATCGTGATGAACAGCAGCTACGGACTTCTCAAATTTAACGTTCTTTCCCGGATAGTGGTCAGCGTAGCTAGTTGTGGTGCTCACTTTCATTGCAGCAGCAGCAGAGACGTCTGTAAAGACAACTAGTTCATGTTCATCCTCACAAATGGTATAAATTAAGGTATAAACTTTTAGTATAACTTCATCATAACTTCGTCGACTGGGCTTCATTCTAAATTAGATTAAGGTAAAAGAGAAAATGAAAACAAGACAAGTTGTTCCTTCAGATCTCACACCTGTTGTTCCGTCAGATCTCACACCTATGCTAGCGCTAGTTTTCTTCACGTCCTCTGATGTCACCTTCAGACTCATATCGTAGGCAGGGAACTGAACGTTAGTGGAGGTAAGACCGCCCATCTTAGCGGAACTGAGCTCTATCTGGTCGGCGGGCTTGGGACGGGATATATCGGCATTGAGCTGACCCTGAGTTGGGGTGTATTAGAACTTAGACCACCAGGAGCAAAGATACAATTATAGCTGTAGTACGCTCAATACTCCAGTCTTAAAGTAAATCAAGGCAAAGTATAATATTATGTGTATAATGTGTGTATAATTTGTGTATAATATGTGTATAATATGTGTATAATATGTGTATAATATGACGTGTATAATATGTGTATAGTATGTGTATAATATGTGTATAATATATGTAATGTGTATAATATGTGTATAATATGTGTATAATATGTGTTTAATATGTGTATAATATGTGTATAATATGTGTTTAATATGTGTATAATATGTGTATAGTATGTGTATAATATGTGTATAATATATGTAATGTGTATAATATGTGTATAATATGTGTATAATATGTGTTTAATATGTGTATAATATGTGTATAATATGTGTTTAATATGTGTATAATATGTGTATAGTATGTGTATAATATGTGTATAATATATGTAATGTGTATAATATGTGTATAATATGTGTATAATATGTGTTTAATATGTGTATAATATGTGTATAATATGTGTTTAATATGTGTATAATATGTGTATAATATGACGTGTATAATATGTGTATAGTATGTGTATAATATGTGTATAATATATGTAATGTGTATAATATGTGTATAATATGTGTATAATATGTGTTTAATATGTGTATAATATGTGTATAATATGACGTGTATAATATGTGTATAGTATGTGTATAATATGTGTATAATATATGTAATGTGTATAATATGTGTATAATATGTGTATAATATGTGTTTAATATGTGTATAATATGTGTATAATATGTGTATAATATGTGTATAATATGTGTATAATATGACGTGTATAATATGTGTATAGTATGTGTATAATATGTGTATAATATATGTAATGTGTATAATATGTGTTTAATATGTGTATAATATGTGTATAATATGTGTTTAATATGTGTATAATATGTGTATAATATGACGTGTATAATATGTGTATAGTATGTGTATAATATGTGTATAATATATGTAATGTGTATAATATGTGTATAATATGTGTATAATATGTGTTTAATATGTGTATAATATGTGTATAATATGTGTTTAATATGTGTATAATATGTGTATAGTATGTGTATAATATGTGTATAATATATGTAATGTGTATAATATGTGTATAATATGTGTATAATATGTGTTTAATATGTGTATAATATGTGTATAATATGTGTTTAATATGTGTATAATATGTGTATAATATGTGTATAATATGTGTATAATATGACGTGTATAATATGTGTATAGTATGTGTATAATATGTGTATAATATATGTAATGTGTATAATATGTGTATAATATGTGTATAATATGTGTATAATATGTGTATAATATGTGTATAATATGTGTATAATATGTGTATAATATGTGTATAATATGCTTAGTTGTAGTGAACGCTGAACTTAGTCGTACTGAACGTACGTTCCAATCATTTTGTAGTGAACGTTTGTGAACGTTAGTGAACGTTAGTCAATATTTTGATAATTTTTCCGATAGTTTTTAACTTTAGATGGATACAATGAGATAAAACCATGTTGTCGGAATTAGACAGTAAATAAACAATAATGAATAAAAATAAGTCACTAGTATTATAGCAAATAGTAATGAAATTATTGCTCTTTAATTCGTGAATTGTTCATAAGACGCAAACTTGCGTTAACATAAATAAGGTCTCGCTGCTTGTCAACTGTGAGGCGGTTTCTTTTTTGTTTAACACCCAGTCGTACAAGCTCCAATTCGTCTCACAGGGTGAGGCTGATGTCGATTGCGACAGCGCTTTCATTGCAAAACTCTGTAGTTCGGGTACCTCGCAACCGAAGTTGCTCCACCAAGAGACTGGATCGTCAGAATCTTGGCTAAAACTTGAGGCAGCGTCAGTAGAGAATGAGCCTCTTTTCTCTCGGTAGAACGTGTGCTGCGAAAGTATCTTCTTCTTTGTTGCGCCGTCACACCACGTGTCCATGACATATAGAAACTCCTTCCAGACATCCTGATTCGTGTACTGATCATATCCCTGATAAGCCGGGTGAACACAAAAGGGGGGAATGGAGCTCGAGCCACCTTTTGTTGGCAAGACTAACCATATCGCTTTTATAGTTTCAATTGCGGAAAGCAAAATTTGCTAACTTTAAGGTGAACAGATAATATTTGTAATAAATTACACCGATGAAACCAACAGGAATCTTAAGACTATTGTCTGAAAATCTAAGCAAGACTATTATCGGCTCGAGAATTGAGCATAAATAGTCGACTTCTATCCAGAAATGGGGCTCAAGATCAAACAACATTTGTATTTGTAACATACCTCAAGGCCCTGAAGGCCTGGCAATGGAAACGCTAATACTTTGCCGGATAATTGGGCTATGTCCGGTATTTTAATTTCATAATAGCAATTAACGTTCCTTATGTTCCGAACGTTAAAATCTTTTAGCAAACGCGTTCACAAACTATTTTTAGTGAACGTTCCGTACGTTCACTACAACTAAGATAATATGTGTATAATATGTGTATAATATGTGTATAATATGTGTTTAATATGTGTATAATATGTGTATAATATGTGTATAATATGTGTATAATATGTGTATAATATGTGTATAATATGTGTATAATATGTGTATAATATGTGTATAATATGTGTATAATATGTGTATAATTTGTGTATAATATGTGTATAATATGTGTATAATTTGTGTATAATATGTGTATAATATGTGTATAATATGTGTATAATATGTGTATAATATGTGTATAATATGGGTATAATATGTGTATAATTTGTGTATAATATGTGTATAATATGTGTATAATATGTGTATAATATGTGTATAATATGTGTATAATTTGTGTATAATATGTGTATAATATGTGTATAATTTGTGTATAATATGTGTATAATATGTGTATAATATGTGTATAATATGTGTATAATATGTGTATAATATGTGTATAATATGTGTATAATATGTGTATAATAGCACTACCTTGTAATCCCCTCTGACGATAGTTGTATGCTGTTGTCCCCCTTCGAAGAGATTTAGTGTGTCTGGAAACTCGAATGATGCCTTGGAGGCCACATAGATGTCACCCTGAAAATATATACATATTACTAGATCACAGTAGTTGCATCTAAAGCACAATATAACTTACATATTTCATAATATTATCATGATAATTAACACAGTTATTAAAGTAACATGACTATTGAATTGCGAGTTGTATATGGTGGTTTTTGTCTTGACGACCACCAGCTACTTTTTAAGCTAGATTGTCGTACAGCTCACTAATGTTTATACAACGTGACAAATCCGGTTGCACTCATAAACGTGTTTCGCCAACATGCACAAATTTGATAATACTGGTTAATGGCAATTGCTAATCATGTCTCAAAAATGTCAAGTGATTAGAAGTTTAAAGCAAGTTGAAGATGTGTATTCGTAAAGCAGTTCTTATTTTCCATAAAATTGTAATTTCAATAATGATCAGCATTCAGCGATCTCTTTCGAATATCTCATTATTACAGTGCAGTCACAAAGAGTATCTTTTTCTATGGCTGGCTGACATGGTTAACACACTATTGAGTGGGAGCCGTAAATGAAGAAACTTGAAACACTTCCAACACACTTCCAACCTTAAACCTATTATAATTTCTTATTGCAACTTTTTAACGAAGTAAACATATATGAATAACTTTATCACGTTTTGAATGCAATTTGCAACCGGGTACGTTGCCACTCTGAGACTGTGAAGTGTGAGGTTATCCAATTCTTTACTAAAAGAACAAATTTTAAAGAACGTAGGCTGTTTTCCAGTTGTACCTACTAAATCGTACGCCTAAAAATTGGGCGTACGATTTGCTTTTAACGGTATCCTGGCCAAATAACTCGAACATACTAAACCCTAACTCCAGTCTCCATGTTAAGGACCATTCTCTTCAAATAGTTTAGACACATCCATGTGTCACACATGGATGAAAATTCTGCAAGAGATAAGGTCCGATTTATTATAAAGATACTTCTAGAACATGTGGATTCTCACCTGACTTTTGAGGTCGAGTTTGCCAGTACTCTTGAACTTGTTCTGAGGTCCGCAGTGATGTTTACCACAGCTGCAAATCTCACAGACACATCTCTCCTTGTGAACCATTGTGACACCTGTGAGGTACTCGTTAGTAATGTTATCAATTAGTAATCACTTGTGAACCATTGTGACACCTGTGAGCTACTCGTTAGTAATGTTATCAAATTCAATTAGTAATTACTTGGAGACTTATTGATGGTTTTAATGACTACGTAATTTCCTACTGATATTCATAGTCGTCAAAGTGAGGATCGACCATTTAATAAATGGTTTATTTTGGGCGTCACAAGCCGGCGGAGGTGTTCATTTAAAATTTACACGTCGATAATTATAACGATTAAATCTAAATTAGCAGATTCGATACAAAAATTAAAATTAAAGAATTCACATGGCATCAGATAGGTATCTGGTATAACTATAAGGTTTAAAAAATTACGTCAATTATTTTCTGATGCTGTGGTCCATCTTGTTAGTAACGATGTTACTTAGTTAGTAACTTTAGTTAGTAACTTGTTAGTAACATGATGTTACTAGAGTTCTTTTCAACTTAAAAAAATCCTAAATTAAAACGTGGCCGAAAGCATGCTTTATAATCAGTATAATAAAGTGAATGTACTTGCTTTGTAACTCAAGTATATGCTTAATTTAACAAACAAAAGTCACCAATAGTTATGAATGTAAAACACAAAGTTCGGACGTGATGCTGCTAAATCCACTATTCAGTGATTCGGTCGTGTGGCTGGATACAGTGACAAACATTGTCTCAAAGTTATCACGCATGTTATTAAACTTAGATGATCGTAACGGTAAAGCAAAATAGGTTCAATGAATTGAATAATTTCTGCAGTTTCAACAAAACGTCATTATGCACGGTGATAGCAGGAATGTTTAACTTTAAATAAACTGAGTCGCAGCAGATCGAATGCAAGAACAAACCATGGACGTGACGAACGTGATCGACGATCAGAGAGCACTGTTAGTGTTAGCAGTTAGTAGCAATGTTACTAATACTAACATGAACAGTTGCACATACTCGCAGATTTTTAACATAATAATAATAATTATGATTATACTTTGTCCGCCTAATGAAAATATACGACGAGCCGGTAGCATTATAATTCAAAACCGATTCTAGTTTATTTGAATTTCGGCCACAGGGTTTTGGTTTAAAATAAAATGAGAAACAAAATAGTCTACCAGTCTGTTGTCCGGTGCAACCTACCCACTGGCACTTTGCTATTATAATAGTGATACCAGTGGCAATAATCAATAAGGGGTCGTTCACATATTATTACGTAATCATTTTTTGGAACATTTTTAATCAGTTTAACACATAGCTATTGTGTCAAAATTACACTAGCGTAATCATTCGGAAACCCCTCGGCCCCCCTCAGCTGATTACGTAATATGTGAACGACCCCATATGATCGTTTCTGTATAGTAGGAGTTTGACGTGTAATAGGCCGGTCACTGATCCATGATTATGCGTTAACCGTGCGTCAAATTACTTTATTAATATTATGATATTTATAGTGTACGTTAACCGTGCGTCAAATTATTTTTTGATGTGTATAATTACTGCGTCAACAGTGCGTCAAGCTTGTGTCGTATAAAGTGACATTAGACAGATTACCTAAGTATTACGTTCACAAAATAAGCATCAAATCCTATAGCTATTTTATATTTAATTAATTTGTGATGATTTTGTAGTCGAAGAATTGAGTCGAGAAATATGCACTTTAACAAAATGACAGCCGGTCCAATGTCGCAACTTGAAGTTGAACTATTCGTAGCACACTCAATACTATTACTATTACTAACAGTTACTGCCTACTGATTGTGCAATATATGAAATGTTGGTATGATTTTAGTTATAATTAAAGCAGTAGTTGTAAATGAAAAGCTCGAATAATAAAATGAGTAAATACCTATTAGTATTGATATTACGGTGTAACTGTAAAGCCTATGGCTATAAACAAGTTTCAGATAGATTTTATTTAAATGATAAAAATACCAATCGCTGCTATTTAAGATGCTCTATTTAAGATGCTCCGACATGGCCAAAAGGCAGTTATTCCCACTCTGAATAAATCTAGCAGTCAGCGCAACCAAACGCTCTACGACAATTCGTTTGCAGTAATTGGACCTCGATTGTGGAACTTAATCCCACCAAACATGCATACTATCGAAGATCCCCTGCACTTTAAAGAAATGCTCACAACGTTTGTGAAAACATTCCCGGATGAGCCTCTAGTGGCAGGATACAGCTGTCGGAATGGAAACTCGTTACTGGACTGGAGTGGAATAAAGGCAGCGATCTCGCTGTCCGGGTGGTCAGCAACTCTGATGACCCGATAGAGGATTCTATGAAGCACACCAAAGTAACCAAAGTGAGTAATTATATAGGTGACCTTTAAGTGAAATGATATGACCTCCGCCTTACCGTCTACCGACCAACGATCAAGAAAGATTGATAAACGGAGTATAGATATATTGATACGAGTCTAAATGGCTCTGATTATAAACTTACAAATCTCAAGTCTCACTTATCACAAAAAAAATTTAACAGTTAAAAACGTTGGACCATGACAAGCAAAGGCTAAGTGCAGTTTAATGCTTAACGCTATAAATGAGCAACCTTGTGAATATTGAACGGTTGAGTGGCTAATCGAGATACTGTAATCGTGCACACTGGAATGACATTGTAAAAATTAAAATCCTCCTAGTAACAGTGTTGTGATTATTGAGATTTTGTTATGCATTACATAATTGCAATTATGAAGTAACTATAACATTAACCGAACCAAGCATGTTTATAAACATGTTATAAATAGATATAATACGTCTGGCCATTTAAATTATTGTAATCTTAAAAGGTATTTTAGCCCCCGTTCCTTTGTTATTTTGTATGTGCACAGTAAGACTAGTATCAATGATCAAGCATGCCGTAGCCGTATGTGTCCAAGAATTGTTAATATTGTCAATTTACTCCATTTGTAAAACCTTATTTTGTTCAGCATAACAAAGAGACGGCAAGTAGGGGTTGAACACAGCACAGCTGCTGTGGTCGTCCACAGTTGTATTAGTAAAAGTAAGGTGAAATTGAGATATAAAACCAGACTCTACAAAACTGACAATGACAAACCAACCTGTTTGATGCTGGAGGTCGTGGTAATACTTCGGCAGCAGCGTAACGCTTTGCAACGAAACAAATACGACCCACTCCAGTTCGTGATATTTCTCTCAACGACGGAGGAATTTTAGTAATTTGATAGGTTTTAAATAAGTTACTTCGTGATTACACCACCTTACTTCCAACACCTTTTACTAGCAAGTTTGAGGGATAACACACTTTTATTCTAATTTGTTTAGAATAGAATACACAAATCAAAGAAGCTTATCATTAAGCAAACATTACTGACATATATAAAACTTGTAGACAAATCAAAAACCAAAACAAAATGTAAGTCTCAAACGAAAGTCACAAATTCACTTAAATGCACATCTAGAAGGAGCAAGGAAGACGAAACGTGCGAGTTTCAAAATAAAAATCACATTTTGTCCCCAAAATCTATCGAAATTGCTCATTTTAAAGGCATTTCATGGTAAGATCAATAATAAATTGGCATGATTTAACAAGGTGGGTGACACACAGAGGCAGAACTACTATGTTTTGAAACGTAACAGCGTGTCACATTTTTGATAAGTCTGTGCTGCTAAGTGTCACAAGAACCAGTGGTTCTGCCTCTGGATGTCATCTGCCAACTTAAAATATTTCCACTTCCCCGTAAATAATTCACTATTACAAGTCATTAAACTCTTATAAATAATCATGCAATCTATAACAACTTCCTCCGGCCAATCATTCCAATGAACGGGAAAGTATTACAGATCATCTCTAAACTCGACAACATCTCTGAATTTGCACGTATAGTGAAATGATTAATATGTAAAAAGCACCAATAGCCACCAGGGCCTTGTAACAATACATCATGTTTATGAGGCATATGGACTCTGATAGTTACCACCAGCTGTCTCTGTATGGGGCGGGAAAGGAGCACCACCGTAGCTGCCAGCAAATCCAGCGGTATCGTTGTAGCCACCAAGACCAGAGGCGTCGTTCTGTATTTCGTTCAGTTGCTTGTAGGCCATGTATGCTTGTAGGGCCTGAAATATCAGAGAATGGTAAAACAAGGACACAAGATCTTGGATTTAGTGGTCACATTATATATAAATCTCATAACAGCGGTCTTAAAGCACGTTTTTTGGCCACCGCCACAATTATAACTCTAAGTTAAATCAAATGCATCACGAATATGTAAAGCGGGCGGGTTGTAATTTGAAGAAAATTGCTTAAGAAGGACTCAAGGACATTCAAAAGAGATGAGAAATCGATATTCTTGATAAGAATGTAACGAGAAGTTATACTTCTTCAAAATTTTAGGCTCGATATATTACTACACTTAAATTAGATCTACTAGCAGCCTTTTAAAAGGATGGTTGAGTTATTGGACAGTGGAGGAAACTTCTAGAAATTCGTATGACGATTCTTCAGAATTCAGGCTTCGATCCGTTTCCACTTCACTTTACTTTCAACTTTGGTAATTATTGACAAATTATCTTGGGATCGGTCATGGCCGAACTCAGAACTAGTCAAGTTTACGTGCGTTATATTAAGTGCGTGCGCGCGTGCGGCGCCAAAACGGGAAGTAAAATCAAGTTTGTACTGTGGAAACGCATAGCGGCGGACGTCTATGCCGTACAATCATGTGATTGTATTGTACTATGCCACACGTGACAAGCTATTGAATGCCGATACAAATAACACATAGAAAATGTGTAATACAAATTGAGATGTGGCAAATTAGACCGAGCCCCAAACAGTGCGGCATAATAACCGCACACCCGCTCACTTGAAGCTATTACAAGTGTACATGGCGGTAATTATAGTACTGAATGAAGTTGGGCATATCTGGCAACTGATTAGTCAGACACTATTTAGCTACAAACATTATCAGTTCACAGTGGTGTCAAGTACAAAGGATAAAATTGGTGCAATCTTTCTTTAAATCAAAGATTACCCGTATCAAATTCTACATACGGTTACCAACTGGAATACATGGAACAGAAGGGGAAGAAATCAGATTAGAAATGAGATCATACTTAACAGCTAACATGGATGTGGTTTCGTCATCATTTTTTGGTGAATCAGAAGTTTAACTTCCAATCCATATTTATTGTAATCGGTAAACAATGACTAGTCGATAATCGTAATAACAAATAACTAATAGTTGTGTCCGTCATTGGGACCAGGTCATAGTACATTACATTCATGCTCCCTGAATACCATTAAATATGCACGGCATATTCGAGCCGCCTCAATCGGCCACATTGTTGGCCAGTACAAATATGAACTATTAAGTCTAGGTAAACTATAGGTAAAATATAATATTAATCATAAGCTAAAATGTACTAATCTTTGTATTCTAAATGGGGAAAAGAAGAAACATTGTCAGTCAGTCGAGAAAATTGTCAGTCAGGCTATATGGCAGCTTTGTAGATGTTGTGACACAATGCTAGTAGTGGTCCCAGGCTTGCGACTGGAATTGCGGTGTTAAATCGATTTAACGGTATACCAACGATCCACCTCCCACTTGTTGTTTGGTACTTAGCATTAATAGTGTTAGCAAATATGAACTTCTAAGCAATTATCTGTATCAAAATGTGTTTAGTAAATAGACTGACCAGTAAAAAGATGCAGACCAGCGAACACACGATCGTAAATTGTAGATTAGACTTTGTCATAGCACTCATTACTGAAATGGGTTAGTTTAAGAGTAAAATATTATTCTAGTTTTTCTGTTTAAAGTTGAATTTTATTGATCGTAAGTTACATGTTTGATGTGGTTCAAATGCGTTCTGTCGGACGAGAAGTGGGAATCACGCCTTCCTTGCATATGATTGGACTACATCAATCGCTAATTGAAGAACAGTAGTTGACTGTCAAGTGTCAATTACTGGAAGAAAGCATTTTGCAGCTGCTTCATTGGCCTGTTTGCTGCATTGAGCGGATATATACAGAACACATCCAGTACTGCAGGTCATGGGGCAGAGGGGGGGGGGGGGGGGGGGGGCAGAGGACAGGTTTTTAAAAAGTGGGTGGTATAGTTGTTAAATTTGCTAGGAAATAATGGGCCGGGATAGTTCACTTGCTCATTAATGTCACATGTAACAGTGCTATAATTTAAAACTTACTTGTTTTAGTATATAAAATAACTATAATTTAAAACTTACTTGTTTTAGTAGCATCTGGAGTTTTCCTCCACATATCAGTTATAAAACAGAAATCAACGAAAAAGAGGAATGCCCAGAATGCATAGAACGACATGTCCCCGAATACCACATATTTCCTGAAAATTGGGACTTGGGAGTTTAAATAAAAATATGAACATTTTTTTCTGATTTCTAATTTCTAATTTAGTAAATATCAAACATTCTAAATGTCTGAATCTTGCCGTTGTTAATATATAATATTTACTTATTCATGAACCCGTCGAGCAGGTCAGCAACTTTGTCTACCTGGGTGCAACTATCAGTGGGGATGGGACAATCAACAGAGACCTGGATGTCCGTATCCAGAAGGCTAATGGCGCCTTTCATCAGCTCTGGAACATTTGGAATAGCAGAACTATAAAGACTCCAACCAAGATCAGGATCTATAGGGCTGCTGTCCTCACCATCTTGTTGTATGGAGCTGAAGTCTGGAACACCACCAAAAAGCAGATGAAACGCTTCGAGGTTTTCCATCAAACCTCCTTGAGAAGGATCCTTAGGATTAAATGGTTCTTTCATGTGACCAACGACGAAGTTCTTAGGAGGGCTGGCATCAAGTCAGTTGAGACTTTCATTAGTGCTGCCAGGCTACGTTGGTATGGACATGTAGTTAGAATGCCAGACTCTAGACTACCGAGGTTTCTGTTGAACTGGAGCCAAATTATGGAAAGAGGTCAAGGGGCAGACCCCGTAAGAACTGGAAGTCCTGCGTACTCGAATATGCTGCTAAGTTTACAGGTGTTGAAAACATCGACAACGGCACAACAGAAGCTTTGGCTATCAACCGAGTACAGTGGAGACATATGTTACGCCGCCAACGCGATGTGTGTGATGCAGGCCACTCCAACGACTAGGAGGAGACCTTACCATGTAACATGTATGTAACTTATTCATGATATGTTTAATATAATTAACATCTACCGTAATTGTTGGATATTGTAAATTCCAAACAACAAGCAAAGCGTAAAATATGTACGTTTTCTCGATTTTACAGCCTTCTAAAATGCCGTAGTACAATCTTCTTCAACAAAAACAATATTCAAAAACTCGAATCTAAATTTAGCTCTTACCTAGTGACAGTGTTGGAGATTTGTTCCCAGAAGTAGGTGACTGCCAGAAAGCCCAGGCCGGCAAAGAAAGCAATGACAGCAATACCCACAGTGTAGTTGCATGCTCCCTGTTTGTGGTTGTATTCGCACACGTTAGCCTGGTTGTAGCCCTTGTCTAATACACAGGAAAATATCAGCATCATGATAAACTGAAAATAGATAAGGGTATCGTCATTATAGTGTAGTATAAGTGCATTAAATTATAAATATAGTTTGGATTTAAGAATATATGTACATTGTACAATGTACATTGTTGTTGATGAGAATTTGTAGCGGCATTTATCGTTTGCTATATTCGCCTTCGCATGATGTCTCCTATTGTTTGTGTTCTAAGATTTTGTGTAGGCTTATATTTTGTTGCATATTTTACATTTCAGTGAATATGTGAATATGATGAGATTGGATATATTTAACCTGGCCGTAATCTGTTCAAACAGATAATTATAATCACTTCGAGATGGCAGGGCCTACTCTCATGCTGTCTATATGTGATGATTAACTCTGAAAAACTGGGAACAACTGGAAAATGATCCCAGAACCTCGACATATCGCATGCCTTGCTCTACCTATTGAGCTACTGTTCCTGATTTTCAGAGCGAAATCACCACTCATAATTATAACTTATAACATGAAGGTAAGCCAGCACAGAATTGTTGTTTAACTTTAAGGACCACGACATATTGTATCAAGTGTGTGATTATTGGTCTTCTGACAGCAGCTGAGCTGAACTGAAAGGTCGTTACAATGTAATTCCACTGGGCAATAAAGAGCTTGAACCAACAACCCCCCCCCACCTACCAAACAACAACCCCTCAACCTGGTAAACTACCCAGCTGTGAGTTTTACGACTGCTGTGTTTATCCTTTATTAGAATAGTCTATTTAACCTTTATTCGCCGTTATTACTAGAGATGTGCTACACATTATCAATGTAACTCAAATCATCAATACATAACGCTCACGTACAAATTCTCTTGATTAATCAACATATATATAATCGCACAGACTATATTGTCCGGTCATGCCTCAAAAAGCCTCGTGTATAATAGCCTCATGACACCAAATCTGCAAATTTAGAAATGTTTGTGACCCTGTATAAGACATTTCAATCAGAGTCAACAAGAAATTGTAACTGTACATTCTCTAATACGTCAAACACAAGGAAAGTTATTGTTCTGCATTATAGATAAGGAGGTTGCCTTCCTCACTCACTTTCAACACTATTTATAACAAATAATTTGAATTTTTATAGCGGGTGTTACTATCGCTTGTTTAAGCAAGAACACCCATTCTAACAGAAGAAAATCTGACGATGACAACTTCAGGCACTCTTACTACGTTTAGGTAAAGGTATAGAGTATAGACAATTTTAAGCATGTTGAGGTTAAGGTTAATCCTCTGTCATTGTAACCTTGGTCTTAGTTAAGTGAGGCGGAAATGAGGCTCACAGCTTACTGTGAATAACTTCATAGTACCCATGAGCATATTATACATAATTCTTGTCAAATTCTACGAATTCAGCCATGAAATTCTAAGAATTTTACCATGAAACTAACTCATTTCATTGAAATACGGGTACAAATTCAGCTCTAATGCAATAGTGTCGACATCACAGAAAAGACTTCTGAAATGCAATACTCTAGCTTACGTAATTGTAGTATTCCTAGTACATTAACGAACATTTTATTTCCCTTTGGACATGAAATACAAAAAACAACGAAAGTAGCTTTCTCAAATTTCATTCCTGAGAATTCTAGATAAGAAGCAAAATAATACTGTACATTTAAGAAATATAATGAACTCGTATACAGAGATTACTGCTTCATTACATGACCCATAATAACTGTGGGAAATACAGGGTTGACTGGAATTATCACAATATCAACTCAATAAGATATTATTTTATTGAACTTACCGTGGTGACAAGACGGAGTACCACAGCTGGCTTCTGAATAAAGCTGGTAAAGGAATCAGAATGGGCAAAACTCCGTGCGTAGTCCATCTCTAATACCTTTATTAATGGCGATTATAAAATAGACACAAAGAAAAGAAAGAAAGCATCGAAGTTTATACTGAAGTAAATTTGGTGACGAGAGTAATAAATAATAATATATGTAATAAAATTGAGCTGCCCCGCTTTGTAATAACTCCCAAGCTCCCCCTTTACAGATCTTCGTTACATAACATGTTATTTTATGTATAAAATACAAATACAAATCTTTCGCCATGTGTTACTATTTGAATCAAACAAAACTTTCAGTAAATCTCTGATATTATAATTTGTAATTATTCAAAGTGTAAATTTAGATAATCTCGACGATCTCACAGTACAATGTTAGCTAGTGCCTAGTATACTGTGCAGTGTGCATAGTGGTATCACATTTATACAACAGGATTTATAACGCTGCCTACCCGACAAAAAGACAGTCCGAGCGCAGACAAAATGAACGTGTAAATCCCAAACCATGGATACTGCCCTGGCTTGAAGAAGCTATAGAACGTAAAAATCAGGCATATCATGATTTTGTTAAGGAACCAGTTGATAGGAACCAGCTAAAATACGACCGTTTGAAAAAGTTTTGCACCAAACACGTTGACAAAGCCAAAAACATACACTACAAAAAATTCTTTGAACAACACAAAGATAATTCTAAGAAGCAGTGGCAGATGATTAACGGTCTTCTAAATAGGAAACCAGCTAAACCTACATCGATAAAACTGTCGGACGAAAACGGACAAGTCAGCACTCCGGCAGCAGTAGCAGAAAAATTTAATGATCACTTCTCAAACATCGCTCCAAAAATTAAATCTGAAATTAGTAGTAGGACCACTTTCGATCCTGGTGGGGCCCAGGGGACACTTCGCAACCCTTCTCCAAATAGCATCTACATAAAACCAGTCACAACTACCGAAGTTTAAGACGTTATTAACCTATTTAAGAATAAAGCTACTCTTGACACCAAAATCCAACCACTCAAAATTGCCAACAGCTGTCATAATTTTACCACAGTATTGGCCCACGTTGTTAACAGCTCGTTCGAACAAGGGGTCTTTCCCCAAGCCTTGAAAACGGCAAAAGTAGTTCCTGTTCATAAAGGTGGATCTAAAACTGACATCAAAAATTACAGACCGATATCTCTACTTGCCACTTTCTCAAAAGTCTACGAAAAGCTTATGCACAATCGAGTCATAAATTTTTTGGATACCTACAATATACTTTGTGAAAATCAATACGGCTTCCGCCCAGGCAGGTCTTGTGAACATGCACTTCTTAATGCTAAAGACAGAATTCTCAATTCAATGTCCAAAAAGCAAGTTACTTTGCTCCTTTTGATTGACTTTAGCAAAGCCTTTGACCTTGTGGATCACTCCATACTCCTGAATAAGCTCGAGCACTATGGCATAAGAGGTCTCGCTCTAAACTGGTTTTTAAACCACTTTAAAAATCATATCTTAGGAACAGAAACCAGTTTGTATCTATTGGATCCTCTGAATCCTCAGCCAACCCCATTATTTACGGTGTACCCCAAGGTTCAATTTTGGGACCTCTCCTTTTTATTATCTACATAAACGATCTTCCTCAAATATCAGAAATAGCTAATTTCATCATGTACGCAGATGATGCAAACATTTTCCTAACAGGAGAAAATATAAACGAGGTCTATGATAAGCTCAAAATTCTTAGCGATGTCTTAGTTAAATGGGTAGATAACAACGGTTTAGCTCTAAATCTTAAAAAAACGAATTATATGATCTTTTCTCGGCAAAGAAACCTCATTTATCGCGATGTAGTAATTTCTGGTGTCACAATCGAAAGAAAAACAGAAGCCCGTTTCTTAGGAGTTATAATAGATAACAAACTGAACTGGTCGCAACATATTTCTGCCATGAAAATGAAAATGGCCAGATACATTGGAGTCATGTACAAACTTAAAAAATATTTGCCTCTGGAAGCACGTTTACAAACATATCACAGCTTTGTTCAGTCTCACCTTAATTACTGCTCCCTCGTCTGGGGTTTTGCTGCCAAATCCCATATAGAAACACTATTTGTAAAACAAAAAATGGGTCTTAGAGCAATACTACCAGGTTTTGTTAATTACTGGTACAAAGATGGTACACCACCAGCAAGTACCAAGTCTGGTTTCTATGTACACAAAATATTGACAGTTCATAGTATCATCGTGAAGAACGCATTAGTTTTTATACATAAGCTGAAAAACTTCCCAAGTCTAGTGCCTCCCTCTATAAAGAAAACAATACCTAACAGTGCACCAATTGCAATATTTAACGTCGCCGATCCGTATTCGAGTTTTACAACTTTATGGTCAGATGAATACGGTAAACACCCTTACAATAATTCAGTATTCTACAAAGGTCCACTATTAGCAATAAACAGATATAGTGTCGCAGCAACTTCCTTACCAAGTCTCTTCAACCTTAACATCTACAAAAGGTGCATAAAAAACATGCTGATTGATCAACAAAACGAGGGCATCACAGACGAATGGCCTAACTTTATGTTACACAATATAACGGGACTAAGGAAATCAGAGCGCAACATCAACCGTAATGCTAATAATAACTCTGTCTCAATACCATAAGCACGCCATCACAGAATCAATTTCACTGCATACCATCTCAGTTACACTGCCATCAATTCGCCAACAAAAACGGCATGACGCTATGCGACTGATAACAGTCGTTAAATTTTAAAATTTTGGAATAGCTAGCTAGCCGTAGCTATGCACCTGTTTCCACTCTAACAACTCTTATAGCGCATTAATATGATAATTTCAACTAAAGGCAACTTTATATGTGCTCAGCTATGTTTTGTTCGACAAGCTCCATTATATACATTTTAATCTTTTTAATGAGATCTAATCTTGTGCGAGTTTTGAGTTTGAATTAATAACACTTATTATATATATTATTTTTTGAGTAAACATTGGCTGGTACTTCGGGCCGGTCCCCAACAGAAAAAAAAATACGATAACATTAGTCAAGTAGTCATACTATGGTCAAGTTCGGAGACAACCTGTACATTTTTTACTTTTTTAGAAGTGTGTGGTGGAGCCAGCTCAAAACAGACTGAAACTCCTTGATTATATGGCTGACAAGACATTTTTCAGGACTTTCTCTGAGTAAAAAAATAAAATTAAAAGGTTGAACGGTTGAGCAGATACAGGTGGTATTAAACAAACCCTTAAAAGGTGGAGATTTAAGGTGGAGACTGGCTCTGGTTGAAGAAACTTTTGATTAAGTTGGAAAAGGTTATTGGTAACACAAACTACATCAAATTTGCAATCTGATAGTTTTATCAATATTTTATTTAAGTGCTCAACCGAGGTGGAGAAATTAATTGCACTTTTCAAAGCTGCTCAACCGGGGGTGGAGAAAGGTTTAGAGAGTTCTAGGTTAGCTAGAAAGTTGCGTCTCGGCCTTTTCTACTTCCCGTTAAATTTTGTTTTTTCCATTGACGCTCAACAGGGTGGAGATCTTTCATTAAGAAACAGTAAAAAGCCTGTCAAACATGCCTAAATTCATTGTATTGGTTTTATCACTAATTCTAATCTGCTCTGTTAACTGCTACTGTAGGGGATCATAAAACTGTTATCCCTTCTGTCTTAAAACAAAGTGTTCTAGCAAATGAAAAAATTATCAAAGTTGTTAAAAGGTACTCAACAAGGTGGAGAAATTGTTGATTAAACATTAAAACAGTAAAAAATGCATTAAAACTGGCCCCACCGGGTTGAGTTGAGCTTTGGCAGTTGATTTTTGGAAGAAATAACATTGGGTGACCCTTTAGCATGTATACAACTCATCAAACTAGCCATCAACCACTCAACCGCGGTGGAGAACCTTGACTTCTGAGGTCAAATTTACGCCCAAATTTGCCAAATTTGAGTCTCCACCTATGTTGAGTGTACTTTTCAGCAAGGATGCCTTGTAATATGAGTTGGTACATGATTTAGAATCATTGGTATTGCAAATGGACTGCCACAGTCACTCTACAGCTCCTAAACTACAGAATAACAGATTTTGAACTGCATGTTATGCTGTCTCCACCTCGGTTGAGCCGATTCTGAGGATCCTATTCTATGAAATATGATTGGTATAACCCATAATATTAAATATTAGGACTTTGGAGCAATTAAAAAGCATGAGAGGGTTAGTTCTAGTCACTTATATTAGCTCATGTAGTCAGTGAGCTGCTCCACCTGTGTTGAGCAGACAAACTTGCTCAACCGGCACTTTTTGAGTACCCACCTGTCTTACGTAACTTTAAATTGTGAAATTTGGAGTAAATATTTTGTTCATAAGTGATTTACAGCTCCTTTATTTTTGTAATTTTCAGGTGGCCACTGTCTCCACCAAGGTTGAGTTATTTAAATTTTGAACCCAGATATCATTATAGAAAGGTTTGGAGTATAATATCTGAAGAGCCTGTACCCCTTGGACTTTCAGAGGAATTATAATTAATTTTACCGTTTATGGCAGTGAAATGAGTGTAATTAGTGACTGATTTTATGTACAGGTTGTCTCCGAACTTGACCCTATAAATTATATTTTAATGTACTTATACTGTAACAATTATGTTGAACAAAACAAAGGAATTTTGGAGGGGAAAATATATTACATTCATTTATTAGACTCGACGAAATAATCCTTGACTTAAGAGGAAGAAGACGAGAAAAAAATTGTTTTCAAAATCTTAATGCTGTCTCACAAGGCATTGCCAGGATTGGCACGAAATTATCTACAGGACATGTTTAGGTACTCACATCATGGTCACACATTGAAACTTATTGTACCATCTTTTAACTCTAAGTTTGGTGAGTGTAGCTTCTCTGTGGTGGCTCCAAAGATCTACAATCGTCTGCCTGATTGGTATCATGCAGACGATTGTAGATCTTTCATTGGCTCAATCACTGGAATCATTGGCTCTCCTAAAAACTTTTCTGTTTAAACTGCCCCTTCATGAACTTGAAAAACTTTATCGATAATTTATTTTTATCATTTTCTGTCATTAGACTTAGCGATGTATTTTAAAGCATATGCATACGTTACCAGTCCTTATCTTATTCAAGTACTTTTCTGGGATGTTTAGATTAAACACTGCTGAGTATAAGTTTTATCTTAAAAGTGGTGTTATTAAACTTCAATTTATTATCATTATGTTAAATGTTGGAACAGATTTTATGTATAATACTAATCAGGTTATTAATCAGTGCAAATTTAAAACTAATCAGCCTTCAACGACAATCCCCAGAACACAGTAGAGTTGTGTGATAAGACTTTTTGCAAGTCTAGTTAATTTTCCCTCATTTAAGTTTGCAAAAGATGTGTTATAATGTTCTCCGAATCTCCACAGCCCCATGTTAAAGTTGACGAACAGGAAAACTGAAAAGTACAACCTTTGTGTAAATTGTAACGTGTGTGAGTGTGTAACATTGAGCTTGATTGCACAGGATGGAATTAATTACATATTATGGAATTAATTACATATTATGCTAAGAATATATCAAAGTTTCTGCTTGCTAGAACTTAACATCCTACTGAAGTGGTCTGTAATACTGTAAAGTCAAACCTCTCTATACCGGGAAACGGTTGTGAGGTATAGAAATACCTGGTATAGAGGTTCACATGATCTGTAGCATATCATATTGTAACATGTCAAGCATCTCATAACATGTCAACTGTCAAGTACCTCATTATGGGACTTATCTTGGAAAACGTTCTAAAACATACTTAACGAACTTAACTGCTTGTATTGCATTGTGTTGTATAATGTATAGCGTTGAATTACAGCTGGATACAGGATATATAAGGATACAAAAGTGATAAGTACTTTATTGAATAGTGAATACACAATACACAGTATACACAATACACTACCACCAAATGCAATGTCAGCACTGAAAAATCACATTACTTTCGCGAAATATCAAAACATGGGCTAATTGGCCAAAAGACAAAAGTTTGGGGGAAAAGAAAAGGTCCGTTATATCGAGGTACCTGGTAAAGCGAATCACGGTAGAGGTTTTACTGAAAGCAACCTCAGATCGCATTAATCATGTATACATATTAAATACAGGTTGTCCAGCATATTTCCCTTTAGAATCTCTCTGTGGAAATATTAAACGGACACACAATCACTATTACACAAGAAGTGCCTATACTTCAATTGGTGAAAACGTGTTTTCAGACACTTTCAGTTTAAGTTAATCTGAACAACTGACATTTATTTCGAGTTGGGATATATTATGGATGTTGATTTTTGTAAAAGCTACCAGGTCATCATTTATAATGTAAAGTATATATGTTCAATTGAGGTTAATGTAGGGTTTTGCAACAAGCTACAGGGGGGGGGAGGGGGCCAAAAGTTAGTGCACATACGTTGGGTCTTATTATACCACCGCCGTGTTTTATATTTGAGACTTGTAACTTTGCAGATGGTATACTGTAATTACTCATTCGAGGATTCCGTCACCAAAATTTTCAAGGGCCAACATACTGCTTTAGGTCATGAAGTCAGGAATATGATCTGAAAAGATGGTGCAAAACGGATGTAAAATGACGAAGTTATCAAGCAATTTGTTTATCTTGTTAGCAAAATTAATTGGGTCATCAATAATTACCCATTCGCTAATCATATGACAGCTTGCTACGACACCGTAATTGGATCTCTGCACAATTAATGAGCATCTATTGTCAACTCAAACACCAGATCACACGTTATGAATAAACTCGTTAAGCTTCATTATATCTTGGTCATAGGGGACGCTAAAATTCTCATTTTTTCAGGACAAATGTAATTTGAATGGCCAATTACAATCCAATACAATTTGGCTTTATTCCGGTTATCCAAACTATCAAATAAATGCCAAAATTAACCTTCTCTTAAAAAATTAACGTGAATATTTTTCAATTTGACATATTCCTTGCATGAGTATTGAGTGGTGATAAATCATACCAGAAACAATTATTTCAATTGGGGACTCAGTGACTGAGCTATAAATGCCAACGTATGTGCACTGACTTTTAAACCCCCTCACCCCCCCCCCCCCCCCCCTGTATAAATATGTTGATACAACCAGCGTGAATTAAGTTGTCAGGGCATTGGGCACAAATATTTGTCTTCTTGAATACATCAGGAGTAAATTTGGGATATTAGCAGATGAAGGATCCTAAGTGATGCATTGACAGAATTTAAACTCCTAAATAAGTTACAGTATAATATTGGAACGATGTGGGAAGTTTCTGTTTCAAACCAATCATTTGCTATTTACTATTATTTTGTAAAAGTAGCAGCTCTTCTGGCAATACCTTCTCCTTGTTGATGCATCTAATGTTAATCTTATATACCATTTACAGGATGGCAGAAACTCCAGGAGGCTTTGTCTGACTTGATTTGTATTCCTCGTTTGAAGTTTATGTTTCTATCATCCACTAGTGTTACTGTCTCACTTTATTGAATTAAAAGTGATAGCAGGAAATGTCGGAAAATCAAGTGAACAGTAGTGGACCACCTATCCCTAAGTTAGGAGATTCTTATCTTTTGTTCAAGAAAGAAGTGAAATTGTGGTCGGCAACCACATTGATCGAAGAAAAGCGTCAAGCAGGATGTATTGTTTTTATGTTACCTCAGAAGGCTAAGTCTGAGGCAGTGGAAGTTCCACTTGAAGTATTACAAAATGGCAGAACAGACACAGTAGAAGGTGCTGAAGTAAAGACATCGGGATTAGACTGCCTCCTGGAGGTCCTTGATGGAATTTATCTTGAAGATTTGGCTAAGGAAAAGTTCAAGACTTATGACATGTTCAGAAAGTTAAGTCGGGAAGGAAGCCAAGATGTCAAGGAGTTTATTTCGTCATTCGAAAAAGTTGTAAAACGAATGGAAGAGCATGATATTAAGCTTCCACAACCTGTTCTAGCGTATGAATTACTTAGAAGTTGTAATGTTAGTGATTACAAGTATTCTGTTGCCATTACTATGTGTGGCGACTTAACATACACTAACATGAAAGAAACGATAAAGAAGATCACAACTATGAAAGATCCAGAAAGTTCACACCAGAGAATGATTGGTGTAGTTAAAGAAGACTCTACATTTTATACTGGTAACTCCTGTATTGAAAATCAGTTTAATATGTATGATGAATACGAAAATGAAAATGAAGTACTGAATGCTCAGGAAATGGAGCAGCATGCATATTACAGCCAAGGAAGAAGTGGCTATTCGGGAAGAGGATACCGGGGATATGGCTTTAGAAGAGGAAATGGTAGAGGAGCCAGAGGATACCGACAACAGAATCAACAGCAGGAAAGTCAACATCAGGTAGCTGCGGGTGTCAGAAGTGACAGAAAAATGAACCCAACAGACAAATATGGGCGGCATTTTACTTGTAATGTTTGCAAGTCGATTTACCACTTTTCTAGAGATTGTCCAGAACGCCGCAGAATAAACAAAAGTGGAAATCAGGTAACGAGTGAGAATGTAAATCTCTTTATGAATGCTCCTGCCCAAGAAGAGAACTCAAATGTTATGGACCAATTTACCAGTGACAACTTTGGGTTAGCAGTTCTTGACAGTGGATGCAACAAAACGGTTTGTGGAAAGGAATGGTTGAAAGTCTATCTTCAGTCGCTGTCTCCAGAAGATTTCGTTAAGGTGTGCTATGAAGAGAAACATGTATCGTTTAAATTTGGAGATAATGCACCATCAAAGTCAAGGACATGCTGCACATTCCCAGCCGTTGTATGTGACAAACAGGTGAACATTGTGGCACAAGTTGTTGATGATCAGATTCCATTACTGATTAGCAAACAGTCAATGAAAGATGCTAGAATGGTATTGGACTTTGGAGATGACACAGTGAAGGCTTTTGGTGTAAAGCAGAAAATCATCTTCAATGAATCAGGACACTGTAGCATCCCTCTGAGCAAGAATACTATCCATCAACAAGTCTGCTTATGTAAATCAGGAGAGGAAATTGTAAACCTGACCATGGAAAGTACTGACAAAAGAAAGATAGCGATTAAGCTACATAAGCAATTCGCCCATCCCCCACCTGAAAAGTTAAAGTCACTCTTAAGAACAGCAGGACAGCTTACCAAGGAAATTGCTCGAGAGATTGACACAGTATCGTCTAACTGTGATGTGTGCAAGAGATACAAGCGACCGAATAATCGTCCAGTAGTCTGTATGCCTTTAGCCAAAGACTTCAATGATACCGTTGCCATGGATATTAAGGTGTACGACAAGAATAAAAACATTTACATCCAGCACATGAGTTTTAATACTTTCAACACTACTATATAACAAATAATTTGAGGTATGACCAAAATGACCAACATGACAAAAATGTAATGTAATTGGAGGTATCAAATCTATTCAATCAACTTCAATCAACTTCAATCGACTTCAATCAATCTTTTTATCTACAACAAACTCAACCAACTCAACATCATGAACGATTCATTGGAAACATTTTTCGGCAAATTATTGATGGAATGTGATACAAAATGTAAAAACTGTTCAGATCTTGAAACTCGCGTGAAGTTTCTGGAGCGTAAAGTGTTCATTTTAGAGGAGATTGTTCAAACCTCACAAACAATAGCAGAGATTAATGAAACTATTTCGCCTCAAAGTGGAAACCAATCAATTGCTCAATACAAGTGTTTCGATGTATCAGTGCAAACGGACTCCAGCAACAATAACATTCAGTATGACAATGAATGTGAGGTACCAGAATCATTTTTGTTGATTGATGATGATGGCTATGTAGAAGCACCTCTATCAATTATTTCTAACAACATAGACATTTCAACCAGCGAGATTACAGACACTGGCTCAGTTATTCCAAGAAGTGGTGAATATTATGCAGGATTAGATTTAACACCTGTGTCAAGTTCAGACCTTACTACAGACTATGAAATCCCTGATATCGCCATCACACCTGTTGAACTTATTGAACAGGCACCATTCAGCAAATTTTCTGTTGAAATCTTATTTGAGGAATTAAAGTTCAGCCACCACTTCCATAACAGGAAATCAGTCTACTTTGGGAAACATCCTTACGTGTACAGTGGAGGAATGCATGACCCAAAGAAGATCCCCCAGGGATCTTACATGGCAAGTATATGTTCCTTTCTAGATGAGCTATTCCCAGAATACAACTACAACAGTGTTCTGGTCAATCTCTATGAATCTGGAGAGGAACATATGCCTGCTCATAGTGACAATGAAGAATTTATTGAAGAAGATTCGTACATTGTAACAGTGTCCCTTGGTGCTTCCAGGATGATGCAGTTGACTGAAATCAAAACAGGACAAGTGGTGACTTCCCTAATTTTAGAACATGGAGATGTATGTCTTATGTCCAAAAAGTCCCAACATCAATTCAACCATGAACTATGTCCCGATCCACTATGCACAGACAAAAGGATCAGTTTAACTTTTAGACTTATCAAACCAGTTGTCTGCAGTCAACCAAGAAAATCACCTTCTACAGCTAGTGGATATGTACCCTACAACGAAAGTGAATTTGAAGTCCACCATTCCAGAGTTATGAGTTCAGCCAAGTCAACTGCAGCGCCTCCTTCACCTGAACAGATCCCAAGTGACCTGCCAATTGATACCATCTACATCAGCAGCAGTATGTTCAGGGACCTCAACGGAACTCTACTAAGTTCGAGGAAGCAGAAAGCTAAGGTGTTCTTCTACCCTGGAGCGAACTCTGCTCAAATGTTAAATAGGCTGTTACATGATGAGGAGTTTAAAAAACTGGACAAAAAGGATGTAAAGCGTGTTTTCATACTAACAGGCACAAACTACGTAGATTCTGTCTGTAACAATTATATTTCTATGAAAAATGCAACAGAAGGAATTGATCAAATACTTAGTATACTTTGGGGAATGTTTATTGGAGCAAGAATTTCAGTTATAAATATTTTACCTAGGAACAGTTATAACAAAAATGAAGTTATCAACGAATTAAATAGGTTTATTTCTAACACCTGCTCTAGCCATGGGTTAAATTATATAGATTTAGAACGTACCAATAGACTATTTACCAGCCGAGTTACTGGAGTAAGGAAACAGGTATTTTTCAAAAAGGGAATAGATAATGTTCACCTTAATATCAAGGGAATCGCCAGGTTGGCGAAACATTTAAAATATTTATCCCACAATGAGCAAACTTAGTCTCTCCATTCAGATTGTAGAAAGTTCTGTAGTTAAATGAGTATTTGATACTTTTATCAAAGAATCACATTTTAAATTATTAAGTCACAAATAAATCAGCATGACATAAAACTAAATGTCATGAATTTTATTTAAATTGCTTGAAGAAGAAACGTATAGATTTGTCCTCCTTTTAACTTTATTATTACCACATTCGTACCTCAATAAACGATAATCTCTCTCTTGGTCTATGTAATATACAGGGTGGCCTGACTAATCTGGCAAAAACTCTCGAACTACAGGAGCTAATATTTCGCGAAAAGCTTGACATAATTGGAATTAATGAGACAAACCTTAAATCTGATATAGACACTAGTACACTTAACTTCCCCTTAAACTTTGATTTTATAAGGTGTGATAGACCTAACGATAGAGGAAGAGGAGGGTGTGGTATATTGATCAACCAAAATGTAAACCACAAATTACTCAATTTAGATATAACTTACTCTGATATTTCTAAAATCGAAGCTATATGGATACAACTCAAGGATGCCAATCTTTACATTTGCTGCTTCTACAGATCACAAAACTTTTGTCACCTAGATACTTTCCTTGATTATATGACTGAATGTATGATGAAACTTCAAGGTAAGAAAGTAATATGGATTGGCGATGTTAATGTTAACCAAAACTCTTTATCTGATCTAGATTATAAAAAGTTAGATATAACAATGAAGCTCTTTGGAATGATACAGACTGTTACAGGAATTACTAGAGTTGCAAACTTAGATGGTAGGATAACGCAGAGCACAATAGATGTTGTCATGACTAACTGTTACTCTAATTTCATAGAGTGTAAAGTACTTGATGATAGAATAGGAGATCACCAAGCTCTCAAATGTGTTCTCGACTTTAAAGTAAGTAAAGCTAGTAAATTCCAGAAGGTTCTTATCAGAGACCACTCCTTAAACAATCTGAAAGCCTTAAGCTATTTTCTGGGATCCTGCAGCAACTACAGTAATATTCTAAGCTGTACTAATGTAGACCATGCCCTAGATGGACTTAATCATCACATCCAGGAATCGTATGATAATTACTGTCCACCTAAACAGATAAAATGTAATAGTAACTTTCTCTGTAATCCCTCTAAAGAACTGTTGGCAGAAATACGGAAGAAGAAGATGCTTTTCAGAAAGTATAAAAAGTGTTTAGGACAATTAAACAAATTCAAGTGTAATTGTATTAATGGAATATGTAAATGCAGAAAAAGTGAACTACATAAGAAATGCTCTACTTCGTGGGATAACTATCGTCCCCAAAGAAACTATGTGACAAAATTATCCAAAGAAAACAGACGTACAAATATTGTTCAGGACCTTACTGTGAAAAGTGCAAAAAACGATTTAAAAGGCATTTGGAAAACTATCAAACATGCTTCAAACTTACCTGGAAAAATAAGTAGCTCTTCCCCAAGCAACTTAAATGTTAACGGAGTTAACCTGCATTTTGCCACAGTTGGTACAATAATACAAGAATCGATTAAGGAAAAGGATTCAGACGACTTCCTAGAATATATGCCGCCTCCAACAGAGTGTAAACTCTCTGTATTCGAAGAGGTGACTGTTGAACAAGTAAAAGAATATATACTCAGTATACCATCAGATAAATCGATTAACGATATCATGCCCATTAAAATATATAAGTATATTATTCCCCAAATCATCGATCCAGTAGCTCATATTATAAACCTTAGTATGAAAAGTGGAACAATGCCGTTGGCATGTAAAATTGCATCAGTCACTCCAATTCTTAAAACTGGTGACCCTAATGATCCAAATAACTACCGGCCAATATCCATACTCCCCCTACTTGGAAAATGCATAGAATATTTTGTTAACCAACAGCTTACAGAGTATGTTGAAACAAATAAACTGCTTACCAACCATCAGTATGGTTTTAGAAAAGATCATTCCACCACTTTTCTAATGCTTAATCTATTTGATAAAATATTTACGTCTAAGGAATCACAGAAGAAACCTGCAATTGTATTCTTAGATATCAAAAAGGCCTTTGACACAGTAAGCCATAATATTTTATTAAAAAAACTTAAGTATTATGGAGTTGATGGCTTTGTCATAAAGTGGTTCAAAAGCTACCTTGGGGACAGAACGCAACACACCAAAATACGTGGTAATGTAAGCACATCACTCCCTGTTAAAACAGGTGTGCCACAGGGTAGCATATTAGGACCAATTCTATTTAGTTTATTCATAAATGATCTCAGTAGAAATTGCACACAATCTACTGTTTACTTATTTGCAGATGATAGTGCACTATATTTTGATAACATTTCCCGAGGCATATATGAGAATGTAATTAAGGATATGAAAATTGTGTATGAATGGCTTAGAATCAACAAGCTAGGACTAAATGCTGCAAAATCTTCATTCATTGTATTTGATAGATCACCTAATCTGGACACGTTGTCAATCCCTCTGGATTTGGAAAAAGAATGCCTATTTATAGAAGAAACTAAATCTCAAAAATATTTAGGTCTCATGATAGACAATTTATTGAACTTTCAAGACCATATTGATTATGTGAAATCAAAAATTGCTAAAAGAATAGGGGCATTATACAGGTCGAAAAATCTTCTTCCACTGAAATATAGAAAAATGTTTGTAAATGCTCTTATGCTCCCCCAATTTGACTACCTGGATATAATATGGTGTAGGGCTGCCAAAACCAAACTTAATTCTCTTGATATATTATACAAGAAAGTAGCAAAAATTGCTCTGGATGTTCATTGGCAGGAACCATCAGTAAATGTATATCGAAATATGAAGTGGTTACCCTTACACTTAAGAAGACAACTCCATCTATCAACGTATATGTATAAAATTCTTAATGAGGCTGCACCATCATCATTCACAGATAAATTTTCTTATGTATCCGGAGGATCACGTGATGCTGAGAGGTGCAACCTTTATATTCACAAATCCAGAACACACAAAACCTTTACATATTTAGGTGCAAAATGTTGGAATACAATTCCAGAGAACATAAGGACTATAGAATGTAGTGTAAAATTCTCACAATGTATGAAATCTAAATTTATGTCAGATGTAATTCAAGGAGTCTCATCCTATG